ATTACTGGCAAGTGAAGAACAGAGTTCAAGTATACAGAATATAATGCCTTATCCATCCCTTTTGCAAAAACTATATTTTGGCCACTTCTGAGTTGGCACCAAAGGCAGAAAGAAAAAAAAATATTCAAGATCTGAGGAATGAAAACTTAAACAGAAGAGACTGGTTAGGAGTAGCAGCTCTATGAAATGCATTTTTTAAATGAGAGCTTGGCAGTCTGAAGAGGCGCCAATGGAGGAATAAATGTTTGGATACTTAAAATCATGATGGCATAAAGTAGACAGGGAGTTGAGCATCAAGTTCTGAAATGTCATATCCAAGAGGTTGCCAGCCCAGCCAGAAAGTACAACATAGAGGACCAAAAGGACAAACCATCCTACCTAGAAACTATAAACATAGCAAAATTATCCCAGATCTAGCATAGTAGGGTGCTAGGACACTGGTTGAAACAAAAGCAGAAAGAATCGCTAGGATGCCAAGAGCCTATTGGGCAAATTGAACCTTGCATTTACTGACCCTTAATCAAGCTTGGATTTTTTTTCCAAGAGGAAAAAAGAAATCATTTAACCTAAAGCTTCAAAGTGAAAAGTCCTTTTTTCAGGGTACTCACATATGTCTATGAGGAGGAGGGGGAAGAATTGGGGGAGAGGAGGAGGAGGAGGAGGAAAAGGAGGAAGAAGAGAGGGGGTGGGGAGGGGAGGAGGAGGAAGAGGAGAAAAAAGAGGGGAGGGAGGGGGGGAGAGAGGAGGGGAGGAGTGGGGGAGGGAGGGTGGAAGGACCCCCCTTTCTGGTCAAACATTCCACTTCATCTATTATCTAAACTTCTAAGCTTTCAAAACACAATTTAATCAATCTCCACTACTAGATATTATATTTCAAATGCCTGAGATTTCCTAATATCACCTTGACTCCAAAAAGGAAAGAGAGAAAGAAGGAAGAAAGAGAGGAAATGTATTCATGCAGAGTTCAGTTCATCAGGCCTCTGTTTTTCTAGGTAATCTCTACACAGATTTGGCAGAAGACTAACTTGTAAACTAAATTTACCCAGACTCTTCACAGATATTAATCCTCAGATTAACATTTATTGCTGTAGTACAACAATGAAACAAACCACCTCAATCCCTGCTCTAAAATGAAATTCTGCAGCATCAGCTTCTTAATGTCCCTTGGGACCCTTCTAAACCTGAGAGAAAAAGAGAATTTGATTGCATATTCAGATGACCCTGTACTGCATTGAAGAAAGTCTGCCAGACTTTCCTTAGAAGTATTTCTGTCTTTGTGTCTAGATACTTATATACAATGAAGTACCTATGTTCTGTACCAATGGATTTGGTTATATTTGTATATCTGAAGTTATGGCATACTTTAACTTATACCAAAAATAACTAAATTAAAGCTCATTCAAGTTAATACAAGGCTAACTTTCTGTTCTATAGCTTTATGGACTTAAACTCAGAATTCTGATAGGTATATAATTTCATTCTACTTCACAAATATATTAAGGATGGCACAATTTTTGACAAATTATAATTAGCCATACTTCTTTCTGGATAATGTGTATTTGATCTTGTTTGGAATAGGAGGTTTTGGATGGGACTGTTAACAGTTTATAGATAATGAGAAGGTTTTAAGAACATACTAGATTCCTAAAAGTGGTAATAGAGAAGGGCAGCAGAATACAACATACACTAGTAAAAACGTGGATGTATAACCAATGTGATTCTGCAATCTTATACAGGGTAAAAATGGGAGTTCATAAACCTCTTGAATCAAATGTATGAAATGTGATATGTCAAGAGCTTTGTAATGTTTTGAACAACTAATAATAAAAAATAAATAAATTAGTAACCACACCTAATTTGATCACCAAGAAAACAATTATTAAAAATGTAATGAACTTATTGTACTCTCAAAAAATAAATAAATAAAAGTGGTAGTAGAGTAATCTGCCCCTCTGACAAACATGAAAAACTTGTTATGATCTCTGTCCTCAAAGATTTAGGTTTGGAAAATATTTTATTTTAATTAATTAATTTATTTATTTTTTGGGTTTTTTTTTTTTTTTGGAAAATATTTTAAACTATGTTCTTAAGTTACTTCGCTCATACCAGATATGAAAGTAACTGCAGTCTATTAGGACTCCAGGAAAACCTGGACAAATTTCTACTTTTACATCTCAAGGAAGGCCTCCAAAAATCCAGATACGAATGCAATTCTGAATGTTAAATGCAGTCAGACTGTGCTGTCAAGAATTAAATTCTGAATAATTTTAACAAAGGCCTTCACCCTCACACATAATCTATGGTTCTATCTGTATAATGGGAAGATTGATAAACTCAACCATACTGGGCTTCTGTGAACTCCAGCTGAAACAATGTACCCAGAAGTACTTTGAAACCATAAAGCTATTTTTGACAGGATGACAACACACCACTGTGTAGTTTAAGGAATATTGGTGTCCCCTATTAGAGAAATTCAGAAAGGGCCCTGTATTGCATGAGGCATGCCCTGGAATTTGCTACATGACCCAAGGCAGACCCAAGGTGCCCCAATCACCTAGAAAGTACCTCTCTTTTGCTTTAGCATCACTACCTTTCAGACACCCATCCCCACCTTGCTGATTTCAGTGAACTTCTTTTGACTCTTGTTTGGGATTTCAATGTACGAATATTATTCCTATTATTACAACTTTGATTTTATACAGTACCAAAAGTGAAGCACTGAGATTTTGCCATTCTTCAGCCAACATAGTAAATTAAAGCCTTTCATTTCATTAAATTTAAATACAAGGTAGATCACCTTTAAAGGGATCTCAGATTCTGCATATATTTTTTAGCCTTCCACTTGGGCCATTTTATTTTCTCTCTCACCACCCACACAAATAGAACACACATACACTCATAGGTATACCTCTAACCAAAAGATAGGGAAGAAGAATAATTATCTACTCAAAGTTGTTGTTTTTGTTGCTTTGATTTCAATAGCTATATTCAAAATAAACTTGTACCTAAAGTAAATAAAAAGTAAATGCTTTGAAAGTTCTTTTTCCTTGCCTTACATGTTTATTTGCTGAGGATATAAATATCTATGCTTGAGGTATGTTTAAATATACTCGGTGCAGGATAGGGATGTACCTCAATGGTTATTCACTTGTCTAGCATTCAAGATGTCCTGGGTTCCATCTCCAGTAAACACACACACACACACACACACACACACACACACACACCATATGTATATATGATATATATGAGCTCCTATTGAGAGCGGGTTGAATCTTTCACACAACAGAGCATCAAAAAAGCTGTCTTCCTAGACAATCTCATATATACTTCATTTATACATTAACACAAACAAGAAATGCACAATTTCCATCAAGTTGCATACATTATGCAAAATGTATTTCCTACCAAAAGGTATATTTAGGGAGTTGCTGGGTCATTAATCACCATCATAGCAGAACAGTGACTCCTTGTACAAACAATCAGAGAAGACCCAAGAAATTTGGGGTGAGAAAACAGACTGTTAGAGGTGATAGAAGGGAATTTATAAGTAACATTGAATTAAATTAGAATTCTGAGTTCTGATTTAATTCAATTCTGACCAATTTCCCTAAACTACTCTGAATTTTGAATAAGTATCTTCACTAAGGCTGCACAAAGAAATGTCTGACAACACGAACACAACACACGTCCCCTTGCACCCTCCTTGTCAGAGCAATATATCATCAAAGGTAAAAATTAACCAGGGAATTTCCAGCATTTTCCTTCACTTGTGAACTTCCTTCCTTCAGGCCCAAGAGAGACTGGATAAGGTTTACCTACCTATGTAAAGGAAGAAATTCCAATCACACCTACAAACCCCCCGCATAGAATCTGGAGGGACATAGTAGAAATCAGATATGGTTGATACTTAGCTCACTCTCTTCCTCTACCCTTCACCACAGCCCACACCTCTTGCTTGCTATGGGGACAGAAAGCTCATTCAGCTTACAAATGACGCTACCAAGTCTGCCTCCAACAACCCCTGTGACCTTCTTTCCAAAGTTAGTTATCAGTTCACACTGAGCTGGGGTCACCTCAACCACAACGCAGCCGGGAAACCCCAATCCCTGACCGGTGCTGTGCCCAGCCCCAGGCGCCCTGGGCACTGTGCTGGAGCCAATTGCGGCGGGCGGGGCTCCAACCTCAGGAGGCGGGTGGGAAGCGCGCCTGGTGCGGAGGAGGTACACGCAGCGGCGCTGGTCGCGTGCATGGGAGGGGAAAGACCGCGGCGTTCGGGGACCCCGAGAGGCGCGAAGCTTGCAATCAGGCAGAGTGGTCCAACTGCAGTACCCCGGGGATGTGCTCAGGAAGGAACACACAAGTTTGAGTGGGGTAGTAACTTGGAAAAATATTTGTTGAGGTTTATTTTAAATGGGCAAATGCATTGGAACCCTATCTAGAAGGGAATTGTTCCAAGATTGTCACAATCCCCTTCTAGCCTGGAACACACACTTGAAATTCTTGGCAAAAGAAGACGCTGCGAAGGTATTCCGAGGTAGCGATGCCATCTCCACCCACCTTTTTTTGGAAACTCTGCCTACTTGATCTGCGAACGCAGGGCAACCGCGCCCTGGAACAGAGGAGGTTTTGTCCCCTCTGGATGCATACAGCCGACTGAATGCTGATATTTTAAACCAACAGCAGCCGGTTGTTTCGTTTTGCTGTTTCGAGGGCGGGGTGGGGTGAGGGGATTAGAAACTCCAGGATGTCTTACTCAAAACTAGAGGATGAGCGCTGGGCATTTGATCCCACTAGCACAGAACTCCAGTCAACTCGGGCCGTTCTGCTGCCACTTGGGGGTGGGGAGAAGAAGGGAAAGGAAGGGGAGCGAAGGAGTGGCGGCAGAGGGGCTGGCGAAGGAGGGAAGGAAACAGGTGAGCTCCCACCGCCACCCATCAGGAATTGCAGCTTGGCGGGCCCTGGCGCGCCACCGTCCCAACCTGGAGAGAGGCACTTACCGGCTTTACACGGGTCCTTGTAATCTATAGTCTCGGTTTTATCTTCTTCGTTCCCATCAAAAGTGTAATCGTAATCGAGGCCAGCGCAGACCCAAAACTCCCCGTGGAAAAGAATCCCCGAGGCCACTAGCCACACAAGCATCCTCGGGGAAAGCGTTTCCAACCCCATCCTCCTCCCCCAGAGGAAAAGGAGGGGACGCGACCGGGAGGGTAGGCGCTGCGGTCCGCGTTGATGTGCGGGGCCAGGGGGACCGGTGCTCTTCTCCCCACTGGGAGGTTCCTCGCCGGACCAGGGTGTTCAGGTGTCCGGAGACATGCGGATGCCGTCGGGACAGTAAAGAGGGCAAGCGCTGCCTGTGACCCCCAGTTGCAGGGGGGAAGTTGGCTGAGGGCCCGCGGGTGGGCGGAGGGCAGGTAAGGAGGCTCGGCTCCGGGAAGCGGGCAGGGGCAGCGGCGGACCAACTCAGCTCCGGCGGCGCGGGCGCTCGCAGCCTGCCAGGTCCTCCTTCTGATGGCAGAACTTCTCGCGGCCGCGGCTCGCCGAGCGGCGCCCCGCGGGCTCAGCTGCCACCCGAGCTCGGGCTCCGGCGCCGCGCCCCCGCCGCTGTCAGGACCCCGGGGCCGAACGCGAGCTGCCGCCTTCTGCGCCCGCTGCCGCCGCCGCTCCGGGAAGATGAATCCGGTCTGCACATCAGCACATCTGAACTGAAAGGGGAGACCAAGGAAGGGGGTGGGGGGCAGGCATTTCTACGCCGCGAGTCCTTAAAAGCCTGCAGAAGCCAGCAAAGCAACTGGCTGCAAGGAGAGCAAAAGTGTGGGGATTTGGGGATGCACTGTTTGCCTTTTCCCCCCAGGCTGTCTTTTTACCCTCTTCCTAACTTGAAAAAAAAAAAAAATCTTCGCAGCATCTAACCCAATCACTTGCATCCTGCTTACTTATTCATACAATCAGGGTCAGGATCCGGGCCACAGCCTCCTCTCTGACTTCTTTTGATAGCCTTATACAAACAAACAGACGCTAGTGCGCTAACAATTCCATTTATATTTTACCAAAGATAAAAATGAATATATTATGCGTCTGCATCCGCGAACAGCAATTAATAGATGATATACGTGTCAGTTGAGAGTGCCAGACCGGGGGTGGCGCGAGAGATCGTGACAACTTAGCCGTGAATCTGTTTCCCCTCCCCCCAAATAAACAGCGAGTGTGTGTTTCTTTCCTTTGCTGCTGTTTAACCTTCGTGCAGCCCAGAAGGGAGGAAAAGTGTCTGACCCATCGCGATTTAGGTAGGAAAACATATTCCTGTAAGTCTCCTAACCAACAAAGTTTTGCTAAGAACTAAGATCCTCAGAACAGCAATTTAAAAAAAAAAAAAAAAAATCCAAAATCGAGTTTTGGATTGCAGCAGCAGGAAACGCTGAGACCTTGCTGATGGGCTGGCGCTAGGGCTCACGTGGGCACAGGAAGGGAAGTTGGATGGAATACTCGGGAAGCAAATTTTCTGTGACAGTTCTGGCGCCCATGCCTAGAGTCGCTCAGTATCTAAAGGCTTCACTCGCTTTACTTCTTCGGAGGAGACTGTGTAAAACCAGGCTGCCGAATCAGCGAGGTAAACCACATGTCAGCCTGAGCAGACTGAAGACAAACACAGGTTGTGGGAAATTGAGAAGGAAAAAAAAAAGAGGAAATCTCTGCAAAACCCCTGGTGTGAGCAATTCCGAGGTTTCCTCACATCTGCAAGTAGTTTCCAAAATAGGTGAGATGACTTCTCCCCCCAAGCTTCCAAGGCACTGGTGATTGGGAGTTTTCCTTTTCCAACTAAATCTTTTAACTGCCGCTTTAGCAGGGACTTGTAAAAAGTTTTCTGTTGCCTTTTACATCTTTATTTGACAAACGCTGCCCTGTATCCAAGTGATGATCAACCTACAAAGTCGAGAGAGCAGCACACACCTTTGACAGAGTTGGTCATTGGGTTGGAGATTTGAACAGATTTTGTGTTTGTTAAAGAAAAGCAAGAGGCGGGTCTTAAAGAATCAGCTATTTCCAATGTAAACTAAAAGAACAGGAGGACTAGTTGGAATTGAACTGACTTCATATTCTTTGGGAAACAGGGGTTTTCTCTGAGACCACTGCAATCATGATCTCCTTTCTGTAGATCTTAAACTTTTAACCCCAGGATACAGAGCAGACAGCAAATTTAAAAAAAAAAAAAAAGTTCAATAAGCAGGTGGAGGCATTGGATTTGAAATCTCTTGCTGAGTCATTCTCAGATTCTTTTACCCATCCAAAAAAATGTTTGCATAATTAATAATAGTGTTGCTCTGGTGCAGGGCTAAACAAGAATGTGTCCTGCTCAGCCCACTGAGAGCTCAGAAATTGAAAATTTCCTTTAGAGGAGCTCTGCTCTTGAGCTGCTGACAGTATCTCCACTTGCTACCCCAGACCCTAAAAGGGTCACTTATTAATTTAAAATGTCTGTGAATATCTCCTTAGAGTCTTTTATCATATGTAACTCTCCAAAAATTTGTACCTGGAGTTTGCATAAATATCACTTACTTTGTCAGGAATGAATACGTTTTATTCATTTATTCTGAGGAAAATGGTACCATATAGGAACATCTGCTTTATTATATAATGATATCTATTATGTTTTTCTTACAGATTTATCATTGCTTAACTATACAACTTATAAATTTGCAATCCAAAAAGTTAGAATGATTTACCTATTAGAACTTCAGATCAAAATATAGAACTGTTTCTTTATGACTAAAATGCTTACAGAGAATATTTATTTATCATCACAATATCCTAGGCCTCAACCCCTGATTTATTTTTAATTTTTAATATTAAATCTAAGTCTGTTTATAATAATAAAATTATATACATTTGAAATTCATTGGTTTCCTTAGATGCTATGATTACAAATTAAAACTAAATTTTTCCCTGTTCATAACAAAACAAATTTTCAAGAATATGCCTATGATTAGGAAGTTGAGTGTTCTATCAGAGTGTAGCCACTGACCTAAGCAGTATATGAATCCAATCTCCTCATGAAAATGAAAATGAGAAATTCATTCCCTCAGTAAGATATACTGATGTCACCTTGTCTTTAGGTGGGAACTACCCTTGCCCACCCTGGCACATGCCACAGGAACTCATCAGCTTCCAGCAAGAGTAAGGAATAAAGTCACCCAACATTGCCAGAGCAAGAGGCAAACTTTATGCCAATGGGTATATCCTGTTTGTTATCATAATAATTAAAATAAAGTTGACTTTTAGATATAGGTAATGGGAAATGTCTATTTTATTTTGCGGGGGAAGCAGGCATTACTGGGTATTGAATCCAGGAGTGATTTACCACTGACTTACATGCCCAGTTCTTTTCTTTTTTCTTTTTTGCTCTGAGATAGGGTCTTACTGAGGGTCTCCCTAAATTACTGAGGCTGGCCTCCAAGTTTCAAACCTCCTGCTCTAGCCTCCCAAATTGCTGGGAGTACAGGCATATGCCACCTCACTATGCAGAAATGTCTATTTTCTAATCTAGTCAATTTGTGAAAAGCTAGATATGACTGTTAATGATACCAAGTAATGCATGAATATATTCCCTTCATGTCCCTTATAAATAAGAATTACTCAGGAAAATAATAACTTCATTCAGAGTTAATGAATGAAGAATATTCATTCCTGCAAAGCAAATGATGTCTAGGCAAACTTAAAGTACAAACTCTTCCAAACTTTCATATGGAATCAAATGTGAGTTTCCCTCCCTCACCTGGATCTCACATTTTCCTCTAAACTAAAAACTGTTAACCAAGTAGTATGTATATAGATTGACTCCTATGAAATCATCTAACCTATGGATCAAACACAGCAAATATTGACAATTTCACATTACTTTAAAGCTTTTAAAAATCTTGTTTTGTACTAATGCTATTGTTCTTCTGAATGCAATTAGGTACATCTGGTTCACATACTCTTACGAGAAGGAATGATTCTCTGAGCCTCCATGAACTTTGACTTCTACATTTTCTTCTTTTTGAATTTTATACTATGGCTTTTTGATTGGCACATTATTTTATGTATCACCGCTGCAGGATACTTCCAAATCTTGCTAATTAGTATGACCCTTATTCAAAATCTGTCCTTATCACTATTTCTTAAGTAACAAATAGAGTGTCACTTATGAATAAAATGAGCAGATGGCAATGTTTGCTTCACCACGAAGATTTAAAAGAAAGTTTTTGTTTGCATGTTAAAGAAGAAAGAGATATGCCTCCCGGGATGGAAATAAGAGCCACGGAAAAAAATCTAGATTTTTTTTTTTGAGTGGGGGCCACTAATGGAAGTGTCTGCTAAATCAACTTCACTGCCATGCCCTCACTATGGGGGACAGAGATGCCCACTTTCTTATGGCTTCATTTCATTCTGCTTCATGGATTAAAAAAAAAATAGACACTAAAACCTTCAATAAACATACCATGCAATGAGAATAACTGAATTTTTTAAATATTACAAAAAGTAGTATCAACTTCTTATGAGAAAGGAAGACCCAACTCCACAAGACCAATTCTGAAGACCAATCACTTGCCAAAGTTTTTATTATTTTGTGCTCTGCTAAAGATGGAGAATACATGTTAAAATGAGTAAGCTATTCATGAACACAGTACTATCACCTCATAATATATAACCTTCTACTGACTCTTTCAGTTGCCCACTGATTGAGAGGACTGCACTTCTGTTCATATTGCTGACAAGTTTTGATCAGTAGAGAACTCTGTATATGATAGTGGCCGATAGCCTTTAGTTCAAACCATTCTTCCTTCAAACCTCAGTGCATCATATCCTTCCTGACTCCATGGATTTTATTCTAGTCAAAAGTTCCTCTATTCTGCCTTGAATTTAAATCATTTATCTCAGGGAGGATAAGAGCTATATATTTTCCATTAATGAATTTTAAAAAATTTTACAAAATACTTTGCACATACTGGATAAATTTGGTTTTATTGACAAAAATAAATCGAGTTCCATTTCAATAATCTAAGAGTATATTCTAATATTCTATGCACTGGGAATATTTAATGTTAGAATATGAGTGAAAATTAATTTTAAAAATCTATACATTGAGTATAAAAGCAAGGTCTGAAATCAGAAAGCTTGCTTACGTCCTTGTTATTCTTCTCGTAAGATGGGTTTGGACATGTAGTTTTTCTTAGTTAGATTGTCCTCACTTTTAAAGTAAAATGTTTACTTCATGTGTTAGTGTTTCATTACTACAACAAACTCCTGAACTAATCAACTTATACAGAAAAAAAGGTTTACTTTGGTTCATGGTTTCAAAGGTTTCAGTTCCTGATTGACGGCTCTGTTGCTTTGAGGCCTGTGTCAAGGCAGGTACATCATGGTAGGGTATATCAGTCAGCTTTTCCGTCACTGTGACCAAAATACCCGGCCAACAACTTCAGAGGTTTAGTCCACGGTTGGGTGACTCCATTGGTGGGGGACCACACCAGGTGAGGCAGATCATCATGGAAGGGTGTGGCAGAGGAAAGCTGCTCAGGTCAGGG